AGGCACAGGGATGATGGTGTACACTTATACTGGGAGGTGATCTCCATTTTACATTGGAGACATACTGGTACAACTGGGAGACAAAGGGATAAAGGGTGTGTGAACTAAAGCCTGTAAATGAAAAACCTGTTGTCAATGTGTGCAGTGCGTGTGCAGAAACAACTGGGAAAAATGTAGAGGAGAGGAACACCCAGAACAACTCGACAAACCGGACAAATGCTCCTTTACAGTGACATGGATTAAACCTGCACTGGAAGTCGATCTGAAGAACGCGTTCCTGATCGTTATAGACTGCAAAGTGTGTTGGGAAAGCGGTGACTGACAGCAACAACCTCACAGATCAGCAAACAAGTCTGTGACCAAACAAACTTTGAAGACTCAACTATATAAACTGTGGACAGCATCACAGCAAGCAGACAATTTTAGCAACTAGGAGCTGGTGTGGACATTGGACCAAACCAGAGCAAAAACTAGGGTGAATATTGGACTTGGATGTATCAGGTGACCTAAGAGATGGTTCCAAATAAGTACTAGCATTAATGTCTGCTGGATGTGCTATTAGACAACAGTCTGCTAACATGTTCACCCTTTTCAACTTTATCAAAGCTGTTCACGTATGGGTGCGAGTTCTCCTGACCCCTCACAGACGATCAAATCAATGAATCAGACCTACAGTAGCTTTAGATGTTCTTGTCTCAGCCTCAGCTACTTCAGGTGAAAACACAACAGTTAGGCTCTAGAGTCAGTGTATGGTTTTTCCATTCTGGGCTACTATAAAAATAAAAAAAACTGGTGGCTCAACATGGCAACTGGGACCCACTTCTATGTAGCTCATTCTAAGCTAAAGTAAATGCTACTACACATTGATGAAAACATAACTATACATACTATACCCCACTCCTGCTAATAAATCCTTTTAGATCCTACACACTGCACCTTTAATCCTGTTTAATCTTGCTTTGACTTTTGACTAAAGCAGCCTGAGGACCACAGGGAAACTACATTATTGAATGCATGAAGCAGCACAGGGAAACTACATTATTGAATGCATGGCTAGGGACCACCTGCTATGCCTTCACAGACCATTAGGGGGGCTGTGGACCACTGGTTGAAAACCCCTGTTCTATAGCTAAGTCGCTATAGAACAATAAATATCTCCATCTTCAATATGTTCATGTCCTATCGTTTTAAAGTTCAGGCTTATGTGAAGTCTGCATCTTATAAAGCTGCCCATATAATGCTTTTTACAAACACATACCAGGAGACAATGGCTGAGACACCACCATCATTTTTTCTGTAGTTGCTTGTGTACTTTTGTTTATCTGGAGGATTAACTGCCAAATCCACAAAACCTAATCCTAATCATCCCTGGCAGAAAATGTAATGACAGTGTAAATGATATGTCGGCCAGAAATCTGAGATATGAGAGTTTAAACTGCTGTCACTGTTATTTATGTTTAGAAATGACTGAAGCACCATTCTTACTTACAATGGTCACAAAAATTAAAACATAAAAATGTCTTATAGCTACATAAAAACAGAGTCACTATGTCCACCTGTGGCTCGTCCTCTGCTTTCCCAGTCTGTATACATTATCTTAGGTCTGTCTTACATTTACATAACAAGCCTCAAAGTGACAAAATAAGACACAAAGTTGGGACTCAAAGTTTGAAAATGAGCTCGTAATAAATCACCACCTCACTAACATGTCATCACCAGCTTCAGCTTTCCACTTTCATGTGGTCATGTGAAGTCATCCCAAGAATCTAAGGACACTGCTGGGTCCTCATCACCGATCCATTCTTGTTGGGACAAACATCACGCGACTGCGAGCATCAACGTTTTCTCACATACAGCAAAGGTAAATAGACAGCAGGACAAACACACACAGAGTGTGGTGCTGAACAACAAGGCCTCAGTGAAGCACATTCTCGGGTGAGCCCACAGGTCTGGAGACTCTCAGTGTCACTCTGATAAAACTGACGTGACAAAACCCTGTGAGCAACGTTTGGATCGGTGGCCCAACTCAAGTGAGAACTCTGACAACACATGTCTCAGTGAACACTGGAAAAAACACCCACAGCCTGCTGAGGGGATAAACACCGACATTTAAAAACATGGAGGGGAAATATTTAGCTGTGCAGGATGTGTGTCAACAAAAATGTGTATTTAGGCTTCCAGGATATATACAGGATCCAACATGTTCACTTTCTCTCTCTCTCTCTCTCTGTGTGCACGCGCACACACACACACACCTGAGGGTTTATCTCATCAATACAGCTGATTCCCTCCTGCCTTTGGCCTACTTAAAACAGACTTGGCACCTGCAGTTTCTGGCTTAAAATCAAGATGAAAGACTATTTTTGACACGCAGACAGTGTGTGGCATGATGTCAATAAACTGTAAGTGTCACAGGTTCCTACTAAGCAACCCAGTCATTTATTACAAAAGCTAAAAGAGGGAAATTCAAGTATTGATTTGTCAGTTCCTGACACGACACCAGAGGATGTGCCTGACATCAGACTCCAGCAAATGAGTCAGTAAAGTCTCATGTCTGCACACTGCTCTGTACTGAGGAACCCAGTTTAGTGATACAGGCCAACAGACTTGTGTACACTTCATCGGGAAAATTAGCTTCATTCCTTCTGTATGAATTAGCTGTAGCACACGTTAATGCAGTAACAAAAATTAGCAAATAATATAATGTGTAACCGTTAAAGAGGCTGGTCTAGCCCCTTAATGATACTTTTAGTTATAATACTTCAGGTACATTTTGCTGACAGTACCTATGTACTTCTTAACATCCTGATTATATGATGCCTACTTATTGTAACTGGGTATTTTTACATGGTGTCGACTGTTATTTCAGTAAAGTATTCAGATGGTTTTTACATCACTGCCAACAATCTAAGTGTCAAAGAGTGCTACTGTTCACAGAGATACCGAACAGATGTTTGTGTGGTTTTTGAATAATGCTGTAGTACAGTGTTTAAATTAAAACTTATAAATCCTCTGCAGTATTGAAATACTGTAGCTATCCACTGCATCACCGTGCACAGGCTGGGGTGTCAGATGACCATACAGATGTGAGCAACATCCACTCAGCTCATAACGGATGTGTGCCAGTGAGGAAGCTGGACAAAGGCTCAAGTGTTATTGTCTCCTTATCTTTGTATTTACAGCCAAGATATGTTTTCCCTGCAGCCATTTCCTGTCAGTCAATGATGGTTGTGACACTGATAGTGACTTGTGGGGGGAAGCAGACTGCTCCAAGCCAGGGATCTCATTTATATGCGTGGTGTACACACAAAACACATCCAAGTAAAACACCCTTAGATACTCAAGCAACATAAATTAAAGCCACGTTGGTAAAGGAGTAGAAGGACGTCTATGGAGATAAAATACCATCAAAAATGTTACAAATGCGTGTTTAACGTTTTGTCTGTAACAAGCGATTTGTGTGTGTCATGAGGATCACAAATGCGTGCTGCGCAATCTGCGCGTATAAAGCAGATAACGATGCACCTACACGTAGGTAACAATGTGTACGTACTTTCTAAAGAACTGCACACAAAAAAATCGATTTTAAGCATTTGTAAAATGTGTTTTATGTGCAGATTGCACAGCACGCATTTTGTGATCCTCATGACACACACACACACACAAATCGCTTGTTACAGACAAAACGTTAAACACGCATTTGTAACATTTTTGATAGTATTTTATCTCCATAGACCTCGTGTACCTTTAGATCGGACCACTTTTCTTAAGTTCTGCCACTATCCGATCTGTCCCACCGAGCTGACAGCAGCAGCAACATGCTGCCACTCACACTGCTTCTTTGTATCAGTGATCCCGCTGCTATGGCCACCAAATAACGTGGCTTCCCAGGCCTCCACCTCCCCTACAAGTGTGTCTATCTCGGTGTCTGAGTAGTTGGGTTTCTTGACTCTTTCCTCACCTGTCATCATGAGGTACCATAACGACAGGACAACCACATGCCAGGCTCATTAATATGCAGATTAGCATTCATGGGGTGCTTTGCATTGACTATTTATGGTTTTAAAATGGGCGTGTACATGGCGGGATAAGAGGCTGATTCATGTGCACATAATTCCAGGTGATCTGTGAAAGGGAACATTGCTTACAGGTGTGCTTACGCATGGTCAAACATTTTTGGCTTTTGGCTGCACGTACACTTTTAGTATGGCCCCTACACACATTTTTATAAATGAGACCCCAAAGCTGAAAATTCGGACCTAAAAACTAAAATGTGAAGGTGTATCTTTGCACAGTCCTCCTCCCAGGACACACTGCTATACCTTTAACACGTGAAGTGACTCAGGGCAAACTAACACAGATAACAAATTAGACCTGTGTAGACCTGTCACATAAAAAACACAGGAGAAGATAATGATGCAGAGGCTACTGATATGACCTACAGTTTATGCAATTTTAAATTGTGCAAGAACACTTTGGCTTGTTCCAACCACACACCCTCAGACCGCTCACTGTGCTGCTGCAGATTATCACAGGAGAATGCTATTTGGGTGGGACAGAAAAATCAAATACCTGTCCTGTGAAAACCCAAACATTACGTTGTTGTTTTATGAAAACAAAATTAGGATATTCTCAGCACACAATCATACACCTATGAAAAAGTTTCCCGGTGGTTTATTCCTTGTAGCAGCTGGTAGAACTCAATGCAGGCCTTGTCCCAGCATTGGTTTAATATCTCACTACAAAACACACACACAGAGAGAACTCACAGAGGCTGACCCTCACACATTCCAGCAAGAGAGCAAGAGGTCGGACTTGGATTGGAGCTGAGACAGTTTTCCTCCTAGTGCACGTTTCCCTTGTTACGTCTTTTCTTAAACTTGCAGTACAAACTAGACTAAGTGAACTAAGAGAACAAAACGCACATGGATACTTGTGGATAAGTTGTTCAGTACATACCATGACACAAAGCACACACACCCACACAGATTTGCACACACCTGCTCCTCCACCGCCACCTCCTGCAGTGCCGGGGTCTCCCGTGGGCCTCGGATCCAACTCAAAATCTGGCCCATGATGGCTGAAAATGACTCTGAGGGTATGTGTGTGTCTGTCAGCCTCTGCCCTGTCTGTTGGCTTGCAGCATGTTTCCAACTCTCAGCGAAGGAAAAACCAGAGAAAAAAGGGTGGGGAAGACAAAGGAGGCGTGTTCTGGGAGCAGAGGGGCAGGGGCAAGCTCAGATGTGGAAGTCACAAGTGGCTGGGCCGTAACTCCCTGAGCTAGAAAGAGAAGTAGATTGACCCTGGCCTGACACGAAAATGACAAGACATCACATCTGACCTGCTTCAACACACACACATGAGCATGCATGCAATAAAAAAAATGCATGCATGTGCAAAAACTATTTTTCAGTGTTGCTAAAATTCCCCCAGCTTTATCTGACACAATGGCTGTTACTTATCTCCAAGCCCACACCCAGATTAGTGCTGATATACAGACCTTCAGCACACAGTCATAAAGACACACATACAGTATGTGCACACTTATGTGCATGCAGCAATGAAAAAAAAGCTTGTACAAACATTTTGGCTGTCTATGAGAATCAAGGGAGGGGCCTGACTTTAGTGTTATTTTATTTGACATGAGACTCAAGGCTGAGCTGGAAATCTTACTTCTGTTACAGTAATATAACCTCATCAGAACAAGAGCAAGGAGCAATATTGATTAGACTGGTTATTTCAACATCTGGTCACCTGGCCAAAATGTTAAACATCAATCAATGGAGGGGATTTTGTCACGGTTCTGTGGAT